CGGCGGCGCGCCGAGCCCCGTTCTCCGCTCCCCGCCACCCCCGTGGCGACGCCTCCGCCGCCCGCCGGCCGGCCGGCCGGCCCGAGCGGCACCGCGCCTCCCCCGCCCCCTCCGCCGAGGCCACCGACCTCCTTCCCACCACAGCTCTTCTCCGCGCGCGCGCGGCGGCGGCGGCGGCGCCCTGAGGAGGGACGAGGAGGGCCGGGCGGGCGGCTGCTCCCAGACCGGCCGGTCCGCTCGTTTCCCTCTCAGCGGCCGGCACTACAACTCCCGGCAGGCGCCGCGGCAGCACGACTTCCGATCCTTGTACGCAAGCGGAAGTGAGGCGAGAGGGGGACCTCTCGGCCGGAGGGCGGCCGGCGGGGGCGGGCGGGGCTTGTCTGGCTCCCGGGCAACGGGCCGGCCAATGGTGGCGCGAGGCGGGGCTTGCGCGGAGCCGCGCGGGGGGCGGGCCCAACCGCTGCGCTGCGCTGCGCTGCGCTGCGCTGCGGGGAGGCGAGTGCCGCGGCCGGTGAGTAAATGGGGCCGCCCCGGGCGCCCGCGGCCCCTGCCCCGCCGCCCCGGCCCGCGGGGCCCCCGCCCGCCCGCCCGCCCGGTGGCGTGACAGGCCGAGCCGCGTCCGGGGAAGCCGCTCCCCCGCTGCCGGAAAAGCCGCGCTGGCTTGCGGGAGCCTGGCGAGCCCCGCGGCTCGTGGGCGCGAGCTGAGAAATGATGGTTTCCGGAAGGTCCGTGTCGCAAGCGGGGCCCTTGAACGCTCCCCGCGGAGGGAGTTCGCCACGGACCTGGCAGCGGCTCTGCGGAAAGACCCCGCAGCCCGTTTTGGGGCGGAATCGAGCGCGCCCTGGCTGGGAATGGCTGCCGGAAGAGCGGCCTCAACCGGCCCCAGCAGCCTGTGCCGTGCGGAGCCCCGGATGGTGGGTGCGATCCTATGCATGGTTCGGGGCGGGGGGGGGGGGGGCCTAAAACCCCCAGCATTCCCCAGCCAGTCTGGGGCCGGTCTAACTGAGGAATGCTGGGAGTTTTAGGTATTCCCCCCCCCCCCCGATCCAGACATGCACAGGAAGCTTCTATTTAATGCACCAACAGCCTCAACTTCGGCAGTCTTGGGCCCCACCAGAGAGCTTTGGCTGTGGGGCGGTACAGAAATGGAATAAATGGAAACATTTGATTATACCTACCACAGTATAATCATCTGTTATATTCTTAATAATTTATTATTATCATTATTAGAACATTTCTATGCCGCCCCTTGCCAGCCTGCTAACTTTGAACCAGCAGATGAAACCCCTTTTGTTCAGCCAAGTGTTTAAAATAGCCTTAATATAATCTAAACTGCTCTTCGTTTCTAAGTTAGTTTTATGGGGGTGGATCTTGTATTTTTAATTTTTTGAAAGTGGGTCAGTACTGTTGGAATCTGTATAAAGGACGACATTTAGAGATGTGCTCGATGAATGCATTAACGCTTGTTCCTTCTTAGGTGGAGCCTGGCAGAAGGTTCAACAGGTGCAGCTATTGCACATCACTGATACTCACTTCAGAGGGGAAGATCTCTGACTGGCATCCTCCACGGCTAGCTGGGGTACGCTGGGAACTGTAGTCCAGAATATATATTATACAAAACTTCAAAAAATGAGCCAATTAAAAGTATTTTAGTTCATTTCAATATATAGCATTAAAATATATTGGCAGCATATAATAGCCAAAAAAATTAAAACATCATTAAGAATAAAAAAATCACCTGTTAAAGTAAATATGGAATAGACACGCCTTAAGTCGGTGCCTAAAGACCAAAAGAGTGAGCACCAACTGGATCTCCAGTGGAATCGAATTCCAAAGCTGGGGTGCTATACTTGAAAAAGCCCCCCTCCTCGCAAAACCCCCCTTCACTTCATTAGTGGGAAGACTGGAGAAGCTTCATGTATGGGCTGGTACATGTGGAGAAAGGCGCTCCTTCAGATTTAGGCCTTTGTCTGTTATTGTAATCACTGAATTGAGCCTGGAAGCAACTGGCAGCCAACGTAACCTGCGCAGGACCTGTGAGATACACTCACAAAGGCCTCTCACAGTGCCCAGGCGTGCTGCCCCATTTTGGAGAAGTTGCAAGGCCCAGGCCATTCTCAAAGGGCGCACTGCAATAATCCACGCGGGAGGTTTCCGGCACGTGGATCACGTGGTGCACGTGGACCTGGTGCGGCTCCACTGCCCAGGTGGGGATGCAGAGAAATTGACCGAGAAATTGCCTGCTGGCTCGGAGCCGCTGACCTTCCTAGTGGCTAGGGCAGAGATGTAGGGCTCCGTTCTGTTCTTCTTCAGCCCCACCTCCTGTTTTCCGTCCAGTATTCTGAACAATGAAAACAGGTCTGAGGAACCAGAGTAAGGTGTGGTTCTCATATTTACTGTAGAAGCCAGTAGCTCTTCACTTTCCATGAAGCAGTTCCTGAACGGCTACGCAAGGCTTCTGTGTCGCTTTTGCTCCTGTTCAAGATCAGGCTGTGGTCCTACCTTTCGTGCTTCTGGCAGTCAGAAGCTCCTCCACCTGGAAGCATCTCATCTTGCAGCACAAGGCGAGAGAGCCGACGGGGGCAAGCGCTCCGGAACTACAGAATTTGCTAGAGGGGCTTTTTAATCCATCTCGTGGGAAGCTTTGTAAATGGACTGAACGGATGGATTGTGCCTGGCTGAGGTCAGTTTTTTGGCCCCTGGGTCCATGAACTCCTGCCGAGTCAGGTCTTTTCCATCTTGTCAACAAGGGTATCATGTGAAACTTAACCAAAAGTTTCACTAGAATCGCATGTTGTCCATGATATTCCCAGGATCTGTCAGACTAGGAAAAGGGGAAGTAAGGTTGCTCTTCCATCACATATTCTTGAGAATGTGTTCCAGAATTTTGCCGAGTATGGACATCCGGCCGACTGGTCTGTAGCTTTCTTCGTGTATCTTTTTTTGGTCCTTAAAGATCAGGACATCAGGCAGAGAAGTGATGTGAAGAGGGATTGGCAGCTCAGGTAAAGAAATGGTGAGAGGGCACGTAGCTACTTCAAAATGAGTTCCGATCCCCAGGCCAGGTGAATTAACAAACTGCCAGCAATTAGCAAACCACTGAATTACCTCCCTGGTGCTGAAAGAGCTTCTGGCCAGTCTTTCAGAGCAGCTGCCTGAAATGTGCGATCCTTGGAGTGATGCTGGAAGACTGGCGATGGACCAGTGTCCCCGTTGTGGGGAAGTGGCAAAAGTGTGAATGCCGGGGGAGCGCCTCAAACAGATGAGCTGTCAGACTGCAAGGACCCAAACAATAGTGAACCAGTTACTAGGAGCTGCCATGGCCTTGCCGGGACCAGACCCCGCCCCCCGCTTTATTATTTTATTTTATTTATTTAGGGAACTTCTATGCCGCCCCATTCGCCAAAGCCTCGGGGTGGCTCACAATCATAAATAAATAACATAATATAAAACAATATAATTTAACAGTATAAATTAAGTTGCCCTGGCCAAAGAATAAAATAAATAAATAATATTAACAATTAAAATATCGTTTGAATAAAAAGGTCTTTGCCTGGCGCTGAAAAGCAAATGACAGCGCCAGGCGGACCTCTGGGGAGCGCATTCCATAGATGGGGCGCCACCGCAGAGAAGGCCCTCCTCCGGGTGCTCACCCTCCTAATGTCCTTCACGGAGGGTTCCCGGAGAAGGGCCTCTGCCGCTGATCTCAGGGGGCGGGGGGGCACGTATGGACGTATGTGCTCCTTCAGGTAACCAGGACCCAAGCCGTTAAGGGCTCTATAGGTCATCACCAACACCTTGAATATTAAACTTCCATTCTGCTATAATTGGCCCAAGGGCCTTTTAAGTGGATTACAATAGACTAGAAACACACTCTTTCCTTTTTTTCTTAGCGAAACACCTTTGGTAGATCCTGGAAGCATTTGAGCACAGAATGGTTTGCTTTAGCAAAGCATTTGATGAGGTTTCATACAAAATCCTAGCTGGCGAGCTGGCAAAATGTGAGCTGGATGTGGCCCCTCTTTGGTGGATCATCCGCAGGCTCCCGCGAGGGTCCGTCGTAGGCGCTTGCAGGTCCTGCCCTCTCCCGTCATGCTCTATCATGCTGGGCTTTCGCCTTTTCAGTGCACGGGCAGGCGATGTAATCTTGTCCTCAGTTGCATCACAGAGGAGGCATTTTGGGGGCAGGATCTCATACAGCCTCAAGTGCCCGATCCTGCCTGATCGTGGAAGCTAAGCAAAATCAGGCCTGGTGGAAATCAGGATGGGTGACTTAAAATGTTGTGAACCACCCAGACCGCTTCAGCTATGAGCCGGTATAGAAATGTAATGTTATAGTAATAAAGATGTGCTTATGTTCCTGCCCCAAGGCTCATGCAATGGGGCAGCATGTAAGTTGTCTAAATAAAAAAATAAATAAAATTATTTAGTATATGTAATATTATTGGTTCATTTCATTTTACTTCCACACTGCTTCTGAACCCACGCGCATTAACCACACGTGACTATTTCCTCTAATTTTATTGGTCCTGTGGCATATATTCTACTGTATTTCCAGACCTAAAATTGTGTTTTGGAAATATTCTAGATCCAACATGGATGAACCTGAAATGGGAGGAGCTTATTTTGATGTCCTCACGGCAAATTGCACTGGCCTGCCACAGTCCTCGCAACCCTTCAGAAACAGACGGGTCAGGAAGGGGAATCACCTGAAGGTAAGCTGGCCGGCATCGCACATGAAACATTTCATGTTGTGTCTGTTCCAAATTCCATCTGAGTAATTATCCAAGCTGGCTTACTCAAGGGGGCAGTGGCAGAAAAATCAGGCCCCTCCAGTGGCTATTTTCTCTCAGCTCAGCATTGCTATTGTTTTATTTATTTTTATTTATTTATTAAGACATTTATATGCCGCCCCATTCGCCGAAGCCTCGGGGCGGCTCACAATATGAAGAAAATTACTAAAGTGACAATATAAAACTAACAATATAAAATAAATATAAAAGAAGTCGCCCTGGCCAGATAAATAAGCAAATATTGTTAACAATTAAAATGACGTTTAAATAAAAAGGTCTTCGCCTGGCGCCGAGAAACAAATAACGACGGCGCCAGGCGGACCTCTCTGGGGAGCGCATTCCATAGATTGGGCGCCACCGCAGAGAAAGCCCTCCTCCGAGTACATACCCTCCTAATTTCCTTCACTGAGGGCTCCCGGAGGAGGGCCTCTCCCGCAGATCTCAAGGGGCGGCCGGGCATATATGGACGTAAGCGCTCCTTCAGGTCTCAGTCCTGTGCGTGTTTCCTTAGCTGGATGTCCGAGTTCAGTGGGGTTTACCCCGATTCAGTGCTGTTTCAGGAGTGTCCCAGTTATGAGTATTGTTACATTGCGTGTATATCCCGCTTCTTTTCCTCTTGCGAGGAGCCCTTGCGAGGTTACACTGAAAGTGAGGGACAGGCCCAAAGTTACCCAGGCAGCATCGGTACTGAGTGGGGGTTAGACCTTGGCTCTCTCAGCCCCACACCTTCCCCACCACACCAACTTTATTAAAGAGCTACTTCGATCTCCAGGGCACAAGCAGCACCTTGGCTCGCATTTGGCAAGCTTTGGAAAATACTGCCGAGCGTGCTTTTGTGGACTCGATCTCTTAGGCATGTAGAGTGGTGTAGCAAAATGGTAAGCCACATTGTGTTTGCACCACACAACAGTCCACTCTGTTGTTTATTCCCCTGGTGAGGCCGCCGGGCAGGTGTGGTTGCTGTTTTGAATATGCAGTCCCTGCTCACAAGTTGTCGTGTGTTGGTACAGAAGGGCACTGCACCGTGTGTCCTGCACTAGAGTTTTGATGTTCCCCGCACACCAGTGTGACACACCAGGTTGTTTAGCCCTTGTATTAACGATACTGGAGTGGGTGGCAAAACCCCAAAAACCCAGGTGGGGGTTGGGAGTGCAGAATGGTGCAGCTTGTGGGTTAAATATTTCTTACTGTGTGTTGTTAAAACCTTGTCAACAAGAAGGTTGCAAACCCCACTAAATGCTGATGATTTTTAATTTTGTTAGTATTTAGTAGTTAGTATTTAGAGAGGTTCGTGTTGTTCCTATTTTTAAAAGACTGTAGCATTTTCTTTAATATATATCTTGTTTCTCTGCAGTTGCTCATATTCAAGGTGGTATCACAGATTTTAAGAGACAACAAAGTACAATTTCATGGCAGAAGTAAAACAAGAAACATAAACCAGTCTAGCAAATAGCAGCTCTAGAATGCATCCTCTAGACACCCTCACTAAAAATTCCTTACCAGAGTAAAACAGTTTTAGGGTGCAATTCTGTGTGTATTTTGATAGACAAAACCCTGCAGCTCCCAGCATCCATCCATGGAGCGTGGCTGCCTGGGGAAAGTTGGAAACTGTAGATGCTTTTCTTCCTAAACATGGTAGGGTCACACCTTTAAGTGCATGCTTAGAAGGCAGGCAGGTGGGCAACCTCTTGGGAAAGCAAGATTTTTTTTTGGCAACAGCTTAACAAACAACATTACTGCTTACAAAGGGTTTTTAAACCACTAAATTCATACTAACTGTGCTGAGAATAGGAGTATAATTTAGTTTTCTGTACTTACAAGTGTTGGTTATCACCTTGTATAGAATATTCTCTATTTTATACCCTATTTGTTATTCATTCATTATATTCCCATACCTTTGAATATGGGCCAAGTCACAAAGATTACAAATGCATTATATATAATATAAACCCCTTTTACTTATAAATGTATCAATATACCACACATACATATATCTCAACAACTTTTTAAACTATCAGTATGGAAAATCTAGGACTTATTCATCTTTTCCCCATTCTCTAAATAAGCAGAGAAAGAAAAGAACCAATTTCAGATGTTGGAAAGTGAACTTTACTAGTTCAGCTACTGGCTAGAATGTAATACTTTTTTGAAGTCGAGATAACACTGCATTCTGTGTTAAGGATGTGAAGTTTTGCACAATCCTGTCATGCCTAATCTGTCTTACTCTTTGGTATGTGAGAGTAAGATTGCCATATAAGAGAAGGTGCGGCCCAATCCGCCTCATGTTTTCTCAGAAGCAAGTCCCACTTAGTTCAATGGGATTTCATCCTGAGGCAGAAAAGCAGGATACATGCTTTTTGTGACATCTTCCCCATTATATGATCTGGCCTGGGCAACTTCTTCTTCCTTCTCTTTCTCCTCCTATATTTTTATTTTATACTGATAATTTTAATTTTGTATTTGTAAATCAATGTATTTTTTGTATTTTTATATTTAATGGTAATTTATTATGTACTATTGTATTTCAATGTATTTTATCATGTTGTAAGCCGCCCCGAGGTTTCGGCAAGGGGCGGCATAGAAATGTTATAATAATAATAATAATAATAATAATAATAATATCTGTGCTCAGGATTGCACTCCTATACAGATCGATTTGGAAATAGCCCCGGTTGCATTTATTAGGACTTCAGATTGGGAATGCTGTAATTCTGTACCCACCTTGTGTGAGAGAGAGCCTTGCTAAATTCAATTAGACTTACTTCTGAGGATAGGATTTCACTTTTAACCTCACTTGCCTTTGGTTGGACAGAATGTATTATACACCTGTTTGCGTAAGCATGGCCAGTTGGCTGCTGAGCGCCTTCTTAAAACAGGAAAAGGAGCGTGCCCGTAGCATCGACGCTTGAGCCGGACCGCCTCGCATGGGAGGCCTGGCGATCAGCGGCCCCTCGGCGCCTTCGCTGCGTGGCCCTTCCGGGCTTTTGCAAGGAAGAAGCGGGCGTGGGGCGGCGGCGGCGTCCTCGCCGCCTTGCTGGGCCTCGGCCCTTTCCCCGCTCCGTACCGCGGCGGCGGCAGCGGCAGCGGCGGGAGGAGCGGCTCGGGCCCGGGCCGGGCCCACTCCGACGGGCAGGCTTCCCGCCAGGGGCCGCGCGCGGCGACTGCGCACGCGCCGCCTCGCGGGGCCACGGTGGCTGCGCGCAAGCGCGCCCTGCGTCGTCCTCCTGCGCATGAGCGTGCAGGGAAGCCCCGGGCTCCCGCGCGGGGGCGGGGAGGGCCGTCCGCGGGGCGCGCACGCGCAGAGCGCGCGGGCGGCGGCCGCCCCCTGTCGGCTGCGGGGGCCGCCAGCGCACCTGCACCCTCATGCGCAGGAGGACGACGCAGGGCGCGCTTGCGCGCAGCCACCG